TATATGATAGTCAATGACTAGTATACTGAAATTTTACATGGTGATTCATGTCCCTTCTCAGATACAGTTAACTGGAATTTTATTTTGTCTTTCTGCAGAAACACGATGGACAATTTACAGTGATTCAGTTAGTAGGAATGCTGAGAGGAATTGCTGCTGGTATGAGATATTTGGCCGATATGGGATATGTTCACAGGGACCTTGCAGCTCGCAATATTCTTGTCAACAGCAATCTTGTTTGTAAAGTGTCAGATTTCGGCCTGTCCCGGGTTATAGAGGATGATCCAGAAGCTGTCTATACAACTACAGTAAGAAAAAGTCTTTTACTGCACTTAATTCATATTCCTAAGATTTTCCTACCAAGAAAGCAGAGCTGATGGGTGGGGAACCTGCAGCCTTCTGATTTCAAGATTGTTCTTTTTTAAACACCAAGGTAAGCAAGAGAAGCTTCATCTTTCTCTGCTGCACCCCTTTTAATAAAATGTTTTGTAAAATTAGGATTCAGTCAAAAGGCCGCAGTTAAGGACCTAGGAGGCCATATGTGGCCTTAAGGCCGCAAGTTCCCCACCCTTAAGTGATTGCTATTTTGTTTTGTTTTGTTTTTTGGGGGAAGGATATTTGTTGTTTTCACAATCTACACACAAGCTAAGAAGGAAAGTAATGATAAGAATGATACCATGCTTACCTTATGTTGGGATGTTCATATAAATAGTATAGAGTTACGTATAGCAACATCTAGTTGCTAGCACTCATGTTTGTAGCAGAAAAATATGACCACACTTTAAACAGAGATTTAAAAGAACATTAACTATGCTAATTCCTATACCTTTTATGAGATTAGAACAAAGGAAAGTATGTGAGGATTTATTTAAATACCCCATATTTCATTCCATTTTACTAGTAATTTAGCCTAATTTGTCATTGTCTTTTCAATAGACTCTTGCCCTAAGACCACACAAGGCCCATTAAATTGAGTTGCCTTGTAAACTTGAAATGAGAAAACTTGTAATGGGATTCTAAAAAACAGATTAGTAACTTTAAATACATTTAGAGAGCAAGATGGATAGTCCTGATGCTGCTGAACTGCCAAATAAAAATACAAATATCTAACTGTTGCTTTATGGTATTGCCTTAAATGATTTATAAGTTGTTATACATATTTAAAATGTCAATTTCTTTTTATAACAGGGAGGAAAAATTCCTGTAAGATGGACAGCACCTGAAGCCATCCAATACCGAAAATTCACATCAGCCAGTGATGTATGGAGCTATGGAATAGTCATGTGGGAAGTTATGTCTTATGGAGAAAGACCTTATTGGGACATGTCAAATCAAGATGTAAGTGTTACATTATTTGAACAAAAGGATTTAATACACTAA